TATCTCTAGGACAAAGAACCTATCAAGAGTAGCGTGGGAAGACTGCAAGCTGTGTCGCCACACTGTGGGGAAATGGATGAAAGATCTCAGAAACCAAGGAACTGGACCATGGGCCTAAAACTGGGCTGGTGGCAACCATAACTAGGAAATTCAATCTTGAGGTCTAAAAACCCTGCCAGTGTCTATTTAAGAAAATAACTGAACTGGATTCACTTCCAGGAAGGTTCACCTTTAAAAAGCAGATATTATTATACCTAACGGCTGGTCGCCACATCCACCAGGTACTGGAGACGAGTAGTGCAGGGAAGACATTAAGAGAATCTTCCTTACAAGGTTAAAGCCATGGCTGTGAATCCCAGAAGAAGCTAGTCCAATGACGACATCCCCCTCAGCAACTCTCTCCTGCTGCAGGAACATTTGGCCTCGTTCCACTGCACCAACTGCAAAGCCAGCGAGGTCGTACTCTCCAGGCGAATACATGCCTGGCATTTCAGCAATCTCTCTTCCTAGGGGAAGGGAGAAAGCAGGCAGCACTAACTGTAAAAACATCCGCATTTCATTTCTAATGTGGAATCAATTGCAGTTTTCAAATTGGGGGCATATTCGGTGTTGCTACAAAGACAGGCACAGCTTAAACTGCACGTTTCTTATTTCAACCAAAAAGCTAGTTAAGCTCAGAGTTACAAAAATGAACAGTGGGAAGGGGAAAAGTATTACCTGAGCACTGATTTCTGGGAAAAAATCAAAATGGTGCCTCTTGGGTTAGGGAGAGGAAGTTCTATTTGGAGAGGGAATGGACATTTTTTTAAGTGCACTAAGAATCCGGTGCCTCAAATTCTGCTCCAATTTGCACCAGAGTAAGTGAGAGAGGAGAATCAGGCTCAGTGTCTGCGTACTAATGGCAGTAATAATTTTATATCAGAACCTTCAAATCCCATACAGGAAGTGAGTGCCCGTACCCAAGAGAGCGCATCCTGCCTTTTTACAAGCTTCAGCTATTCCCGCTATGACTGCTTGAGCCACTTCAGCGTCAAGTTTCCCACAGGCAAAATAGTCAAGGAAGAAGAGGGGCTCTGCTCCCTGAGCCAGGATGTCATTGATACACATGGCAACCAAGTCCTGGCCAATGGTGTCATGTTTCTTACACATCTGTGCAATCTGTAACAAGAGAGTGAGAGAACCAATTTATAGCTGTGATAGCAAAAATTTTCCTGGAGAAAATTCTGAAGGAGAAAC